AGAGTTTCAGGATGACTTTCGGGGGGTTTTGGTCCCTTTTCCCAGTCACCAGTGAGGTCAGGTCCTCTGTGCCTGACTCAGTTTTGGGCAATCCGTCTGTGCAGACACCCTGGGTGTATTATGCAAGTGTTGTTAGAAATAAAATCTGTACCATAACACATAAAACCCAGGAGATGTTTATGGCCCTGCTGTCATCCCAAACCAGGAATACCCACAAACCCCACATTTAACTCCCAATCCCTCCAATCCAACCCTTGTTAACCAGCCCCATAAATGATGAATAACTCAGGAGTGATAAAGCCACTTAAGCTGGATGGAAAGGGGACAGAAGGAGCAGGGAATAAAAGCCAGGTGGAATTGCTGGTGAGCAGCAGTGACCCAGGTTTATGGTTCATGGGGCTGTGGTTAACCAGGATGTGGTTCATGAGCACAAGGAGTCACCCAAGTGTCCTCCTGCTCTGCCAGCCCGTGTCACACCCCCACACAGGCTTGGTCGAGTCTGTTCTGGAAAAAATTGTTTTTAAAAAAACAAAATCATCCCCATCTCCTTCTTTATTCTGGTCTTGTAGACTGGAATTACAGCTCCATTGTTATTGGGGTTTCCCCTGCATTTATTTTCTACATAGAAACCTCTCCAGAACCTTCTAAAGAAATGAATTGATGCCGTGTTCTAGCAGAGCAGTTGACAAAAAAATCCCCAAACTGGAAGCCAGATGGAAATACTGCAGATTAGCCCAGTAAATAAAGTATATTTTTAAATTCTTTCTCTGTTTCAGTGGTCTAGGTGTTGTGCTTAGTGTTACAGGGAATTACATTTTGGAAAGGAGGAAAATCCCTGTCCAGGCCATTCACTTGAGTGCTGGACTAGGTGATCCCTGTGGGTTCCTTTCTCCTCTTCTTTAATCTGGTTTTGTAGACTGAAATCACAGTCACATTTCACTGCATTTCACTCTTGTTGGGGTTTTTCCTGCGTTTATTTTCTATCTAGAAACTTCTCCAGAACCTTCTGACAAAATAAATGGATTATGTGTTCTAGCAGAGCAGCAGGTGTCAGAGCCCAAACTGGAAGTCAGATGGAAATAGTGCAGATTAGTCCAATAAATAAAGTAGATTTTAAAATTCTCTCTCTGTTTTAGTGGTCTAGGTGTTTATTTAGTGATACAGGGAATTATATTTTGGAAAGGAGGTAGATCTCTGTCCATTTTACATTTCTATTTAATATTCTATTTAAATTTAGCTTTATTTATAGAGAAATTTCTATTTCATTTCACATTTCTATTGAAATTTCTATTGAAATTTGGCCTTATATATAGAGCTATTTCTATTTAATTTTTACATTTCTATTTAATATCCTACTTACATTCCTATTGAAATTCCTATTGAAATTTCTACTGAAATTTAATCCCGTTCATGGAGCTATTTCTATTTCATTTTTACATTTCAGTTTACTATCCTATTTACATTCCTATTAAAATTTCTGTTGAAATTTGGCCATATTTACAGAGCAACTTCTATTTCATTTTTAAATTTCTGTTGAGATTTCTGTTGAAATTTCGCCCTATTTATAAAGCTATTTCTATTTCATTTTTACATTTCTATTGAAATTGGGCCTTATTGATTGACCTATTTCTATTTAATTTTTACATTTGTATTTAATATTCTATTTAACATTCTATTTACCTTTCTATTGACATTTCTATTGAAATTTAGCCATATTTATGGACCTATTTCTATTTCATTTTTACATTTCTATTGAAATTTGGCCATATTTATAGACTTATTTCTATTTCATTTTCACATTTCTATTGAAATTTGGCCATATTTATAGACTTATTTCTATTTCATTTTCACATTTCTATTGAAATTTGGCCATATTTATAGACTTATTTCTATTTCATTTTCACATTTCTATTGAAATTTAGCCATATTTATAGTGTTATTTCTATTGAGTTTTTACATTTCTATTGAAATTTGGCCATGTTTATAGAGCTATTTCTATTTAATTTTCACATTTCTATTGACATTTCTATTGAAATTTGGCCATATTGATGGAGTTGTTTCTATTTCATTTTTACATTTCTATTGAAATTTGGCCATATTTATAGAGTTATTTCTATTGAGTTTTTACATTTCTATTGAAATTTGGCCATATTTATAGAGTTATTTCTATTTCATTTTCACATTTCTATTGAAATTTAGCCATATTTATAGAGTTATTTCTATTGAGTTTTTACATTTCTATTGAAATTTGGCCATGTTTATAGAGCTATTTCTATTTAATTTTCACATTTCTATTGACATTTCTATTGAAATTTGGCCATATTTATAGAGCTATTTCTATTTAATTTTCACATTTTTCTTGAAATTTCTATTGAAATTTGGCCATATTTATAGACCTATTTCTATTTCATTTTCACATTTCTATTGAAATTTAGCCATATTTATAGAGTTATTTCTATTGAGTTTTTACATTTCTATTGAAATTTGGCCCTATTTATAGACCTATTCCTATTTCATTTTTACATTTCTATTGAAATTTGGCCCTATTGATAGACATAACTGAAGCAAACAATAAAATTGCGTGGAAGGGAAGAAGCTCCTGACTGGGGCTGGAGCCAGGTGCTGCAATGAGGGCGAGGGAGGAAGAGCCCCAATTTCCTCCCAGCAATTCCTGGTTCCCCTCTCGGGGTGGTGTCCCCGGTGTCCCTGGCTGGCCCCAGAGATCCCTGCCAGCCCTGAGTCCCCTGCTGCAGAGACAAAGATGCTGCAGCTGCTGCCAGGCAATGTTTTTACTGCTGCCAAGGCCAACACCATCAGCTGAGGTCTTCTCAAAGGTGCAGAATGTTATTTCTGCTCTTTGACAAATGCCAGGAGTAAAGGCAGGGGTAGTGTTGAGTTTTATCTTCTTTTCTTTGCCAGGGTCAGGATTAAATGTGTGAGAGGGTATTTCTTGTTGGCACTCAGATGTTTATCAGTTCTTATCTCTGTCACAGTCTCACAGACCCTGAGTTCTGCAGCACTTCACTCCAACAAACTAAAAATGGAGTCCTGTCTCTCTCTACAAGGCCTTTGAAGGATAAACTGTCCAATTAACAAATGACACCTCAATTATTTTCACTTTTAACCCAATACCCAACCACTCGTGCCCACAATGGGGACTTTTTTATCCAATGACACAAAACCACCCAAACCCATGGAGAAGGAGGTGAAGAAGAAGGAGCAGCCTCCACCCTAAACCCTCCATCTTGCTTTCTCTCTATTCCTGTATTCTAAACCCTTAAACTCTGAGTTTCCCCCCTGTGATATCACACACTTCTATTCAAACTCCACACCTAAAATCTCAGTTTTATTATTGAAATTTTGGAAGCTTCTCCATGACCTCAGGTCGAATTCTCTTGGGGATCAGTGCCTGGCAGCACAGAAAGTCTGGATTTTTCAGCAACCAGAGTTCCAGCAGGGTAGCAGAACTTTTCCCAAATCAGAGCCATGCTGTGCACAGCACAACTTGGAAAAGGCCTTCACAATTTTCTTGCTGAATAATAGAGAAACTGAGCCTTGTCCTCTGCTGTGGCTTCATAAAATGTTTTAATTCTCTGTGGACGAGCTGTAGGGATTTTTTTTTTTTTTTAATTTTTTCCATTCCCTTCTTTCTTGGCATTGCAGTAGCAGCTGATTTTCAGAGCTGGAATTGATCTGCTGCTGGCCTCAGCCACAGCGTGGGGGTTTTGCAGCCTGCCTGGGGGATCTGAGCACCCACTCCTCTGTGCTTTGAACAAGTGCTGCTGCTCAGATTCCCGTGGCAGTTTTGGAAAAGCCACCCATGATTTCCCAACCTCCCTGAACCAAGTGCCTTTAGAAAGCCCAGGTAACTCACCAGAGTCAGGAATATCAGATAAACCCTGACTCTTAGGGGTAACCGCCTTTTTTGTTACAAACAGAGTGTAGATGATTTAAATAGAAATTAATTTTGTTTCCCCGAAAGCTTTGAGCAGTTGCCATGGAGGGAATGAGTCCAGCACCAGCATTCTACACCCCATAAAACCTTTCAGTGCCTTGCAGGGTGTTCGAGCTCTACCAGAAACAAGGAGTTTGCTTTTCTCAACCCTCAAGGATTTAATTTTTACATTTCTATTTAATATCCTATTGAAATTTCTATTGAAACTTCTCTTTAAATTTGGCCATATTTATAGAGCTATTTCTATTTCATTTTTACATCTGTATTTATAAAATATATAACTATTTTAAAATATTTAAAATATCTGTATAAATAGAATATAAATATTCCATTTAGCATTCTATTTACCTTTCTATTGAAATTTCTGTTGAAATGTCTATTGAAATACAGCCTTTTTAATAGAGCTATTTCTATTTCATTCTTACATTTCTATTGAAATTTGGCCTTATATATACAGCTATTTCTATTGAATTCTTACATTTCTATTGAAATTTTTATTGAAATTTGGCCATATTTATAGACCTATTTCTATTTCATTTTTACATTTCTGTTGAAATTTCATTTGAAATGTACCCTTATTTATAGAGCTATTTCTATTTAATTTTCACATTTCTATTGACATTTCCTATTGAAATTTGGCCATATTTATAGACCTATTTCTATTTCATTTTCACATTTCTATTGAAATTTCTATTGAAATTTATCCTTATTTATAGACCTATTTCTATTCAATTTTTTACATTTCTATTGAAATTTGGCCATATTCGTAGACCTATTTCTATTTCATTTTCACATTTCTATTGAAATTTCTATTGAAATTTATCCTTATTTATAGACCTATTTCTATTCAATTTTTTACATTTCTATTGAAATTTGGCCATATTCGTAGACCTATTTCTATTTCATTTTCACATTTCTATTGAAATTTCTATTGAAATTTATCCTTATTTATGGACCTATTTCTTTTTTTTTTTTTTTTTTTTTTTTTTTTTTTTTTTTTTTTTTTTTTTTTTGCTCACAAACATTTTCTCTTTTCCTGTTGCAGGGAAAAGCTTCACCCTGACTATCACAGTCTTCACAAACCCTCCCCAGGTAGCCACGTACCACAGAGCCATCAAGATCACCGTGGATGGACCTCGGGAACCCCGAAGTAAGTGAGCTCAGGGCAGAATTCCCAGTGGGATAAACTGATTTAATGGAGGGGCTCATCCCCATCCACACCAAATCCAGCAGCATGTGGAGAAATGGGAATGTTTGAAGCTTTCAAATGGTTTTTATCCTGCCTTCCTGAAGTGTCCAGCTCAACCAGTGACTTGCATTTCTGCAATGCCCAGCCAGGCCTGGCTTGGCCCAAACCCAAGAGCTGACTGAAGGGATGCTGGGAAAAGGTGGGCAGCAGTACCTGGCACATCATTTCTTGCTTTTCAAATGTTAAGGGCATTTTAAAGCATTGCAAACCAATATGGATTGATCAAACCCTTCAAACAGGAATAAATGCCATGGGTTGCTGCTTCCTGGAGTTCCCTGAGCCTCAGCTCTGGGACAGCTTGGGTGAAACCATTGATCTGCACAGACAGCAAATCTTTCTCTCTTTCTTTCTTTCTTTCTTTCTTTCTTTCTTTCTTTCTTTCTTTCTTTCTTTCTTTCTTTCTTTCTTTCTTTCTTTCTTTCTTTCTTTCTTTCTTTCTTTCTTTCTTTCTTTCTTTCTTTCTTTCTTTCTCTCTTTCTCTCTTTCTCTCTTTCTCTCTTTCTCTCTTTCTCTCCTTCTCTCCTTCTCTATTTCTTTCTCTCTCTCTTTCTTTCCCTTTTCTTTCACTCCTTCTTTCTCTTTCTTTCTCTCTCTTTCTCTCTTTCCTTCCTTCCTTCCTTCCTTCCTTCCTTCCTTCCTTCCTTCCTTCCTTCCTTCCTTCCTTCCTTCCTTCCTTCCTTCCTTCCTTCCTTCCTTCCTTCCTTCCTTCCTTCCTTCCTTCCTTCCTTCCTTCCTTCCTTCCTTCCTTTCCTCCTTCCTTCTTTCTCTCTCTTTCTCTCTCTTTCTCTCTCTCTTTCTCTCTCTTTCTCTCTCTTTCTCTCTTCCCTTTTTTAAAAGACTAAAGCACCAGGAGGAACTGAAGGATTTGATGTTCCCAGGGAATGCCCAAGCCCTGCACACAGGGGTTGTGTTGTTCAGGTGCTGAGGGCAGCAGAACTCCATTTCTGTCTGGGTGAAATGGAGTGAAGGTGGAGCAGATGTGCAAGGAGACATCTCAGAACCAGGGAATGGTTTGGGGTGGAAGGGATCTTAAGGATCGTTTCATTCCACCCCAGACAGATTCCACTGTCCCAGGCTGCTCCACTGTCCCCAGTGTCCAGCCTGGCCTTGGGCACTGCCAGGGATCCAGGGGTGGAATTCCATCCCAGCCCTGCCCACCCTGCCAGGGAACAATTCCTCATTGCCAAGATCCCATCCAGCCCTGCCCTCTGGCACTGGCAGCCATTCCCTGGGTGCTGTCCCTGCATCCCCTGGAAATTGTCTCTCTCCAGCTTTCCTGGGGCTCCTGCAGGCCCTGCAAGGCCACCCTGAGCTCAGCCCAAAGCTTCTCCTGTGCAGGTGAACAATCCCAGCTGTGCCAGCCTTTCCTCCCAGCCTTTCCTCCATCCCTCTGCTCATCAGAGGCAATCTTTGGCCTCAGTCACCACCCCAACAGGGCATTTGCATATTGTTATCAAAATGTAAATTGAGGTTTGGGATGAGTTTCTTGCACCCCTCCCACACTCTTGGCAGAAGTTCTGGATGTTGCTTAAGTGGAATTGTCCCGGGAGAACAGAGCAGCAGCACTCAAACACCCTGCAGGGAATGAGACTCACAGCTTGAGGCTGCTTAACCAGGAAAGAAATGTTTCATCCTTCAGCTAAAATAGTTTAGAAAACTCAGGTTTTCTTCTGGAGCCTTCACTTACCTGAGTTGCATCATGATCCATGTTTTTAGTGGAAAAATCTGATATATTTTTTGGATTTGAGGACAGGCCTTAAAACACATACCCTGTCAGGGTAAGACTTCTTATTTATTTATTCTTATTTCTTTGGTTTGTTGTTTGAGTTTTTTTATTTAAATTGTGGTTGAATTGTCCCTGAAAAATATCCTCAGTGAACCAGGCAGCTGCGCACATAAAAAAGATATTTGCGTATGCAAATTCCAGATTTGCATATTCAATTACCTGGGCATGCTCACGGGTTGCAGACAATGAATAAACTCTAGTTCTTTGAATATGCATCTGCTTGAAACCAAATCCTCCTGCAGGCAAACCTTCTGCTGGAAATCAATTCTTCAGTTGGGAGAAGAGTTAATATTTAATGAGATTCTGCATTTTAAGGAGGAAGTGGAGATTGGATCCACACGGAAGCAGCGCTGGGATCTGCCTGACCCAAATGCATGCAAAGGCTTCCCTGGAATTCATATCCCATGTTTTAGGCAAATCAACTGCACAGTGAGGGAGGTTTGAGGCATCTCACCAGGAAAGGTTGGGCTCCCCCCAGCAGGAATTCACAGCTTTGTTATTGCTGAGTCACTCATGACACAGCACAAAGGGAGTGGGGGATCATGGAGTGGTGTAGGGTGGAAGGGATTAAAGCTCATCCAGCTCCACCCCTGCCATGTGCAGGGACACCTCCCACTGTCCCAGGCTGCTCCAGCCTGGCCTTGGGCACTGCCAGGGATCCAGGGGCATCCCCACCCTCCCAGGGAAGGATTTGTTCCCAAGATCCCATCCAGCCCTGCCCTCTGGCACTGGGAGCCATTCCCTGGGTCCTGGCACTGCCAAAGGGAGAGGGACTGAGGCAAAATCCAGGTCTCCAAGGGATTTTTCCAAGTTCACAGGACAATGCACCAGGCCAGGAATGGGATGGGCCAAAACCACAACAGCCATGGCACGAGGTTTGCCTGGTGTGAGGATTGGGCAAAGGATGGGAAAAGTGCTCAGAGGGGAGAAGAAATCACAGGTTGAAACAGAAAAGCAGCCAGAGAATCCCAGAATCCCAGAGTGGTTTGGGTTGGGAGGGGTTTTAGGGATCACCCAGAGCCACCCCTGCCATGGCAGGGACACCTCCCACTGTCCCCAGTGTCCAACCTGGCCTTGGGCACTGCCAGGGATCCAGGGGCAGCCCCAGCTGCTCTGGGACACCTCTCCCAAGGCCTCACCACCCCCTGAGGGGAGAATCCCTTCCCAAAACCCCATCCAAGCTGCCATCTCTTTAAAACCATTCCCCTTTTCCTGTCACTCTCTGCCTGCATAAAAATCCTTCTCCTTTCCTTTTAGAACCTCTGAGCTCTCCCTGGAGCCTTCTCCTCCCCAGGCCTAACACCCCCAGCTCTCCCAGCTTTTCCAATGATTCTGTTTTGCTCCCTTCATTTTTAAGTGGGCTTCAAAGTCCTCAAATTTGACTTCTCACCAAGATTTCCACATCACAGCCATGACCACTCCGACGTTTTTTCCCTGCATTCCTTTGATGGATCTGTGGTGAGCCCTGTCAAACCAGGCCTGCCATGGGCTGAAGGGATTTAGAAGGATTTCAGCCTTCTTGGATTGGGATGGGAATCAAAACAAAACCTGCTGGATTTGAGTGGTTTCCTTTCAGGAATGGATATGTGGGAACATTCCCCCAGCTCCATGACTCACTCAGTCACTTGGGCTGAAGGAATTCCGAACAGGCCGAGATGTTTTCTCCTGGCTCACCAGAGATCTAGACAAACCTGCTGAGCTCCAAAGCCAACTCCAACAACAGCTTTTGATTAATTTCCTAAAACCAACCCCAACAACCATTTTTGATTTGTTTCCTTCATGGTTTTGATGGTTCTCAGACAGCCTGGATTCCAATAAATGCAAGGGGCCAGGGGAAGTTCAGATTAGGGATTAGAAACAATTTTTCCCTGGCAGAGTGGTCAGGCCTTGGGCTGAGCTGCCCAGGGAGGTTTGGAGTCACTGGAATTGTCCCAGAGGAGTCTGGATGTGGCCTTGGGGACAGGGATTGGGGTGATGCTGGTGGGGCTGAAGGTGATCCTGAGGGGCTCTTCCAACCTTCCTGGGATTCTGTGGCTTTTGGGCTCTCTGGGATGTGTGGAGGTGACAAGAGGTGACAACAGCACTGTCACAGGGCCACCTTTGCTCTGCACAAAGGCCTGTGGACCCTGTGTTCCTGTATATCCCATCATCCATGGTTGTTGGGATGTCCAGCTCTTTGGCCAGCAGCACATCTAAATTTGCCCTCCAAATTGTGATAAATTCCCCTTTGTGGGAATTCCTCATTTTCCTTTTTGTCCCATTGGATTCCTGTCTGTGCCTACCCAGAGAAAACTTCTCAAATTGTCACAGCTCATAAAGAGAGCCAAGGTCCTTAAAAACCTGGCTCTTCCTCCCCTGCTTTCATTATGGATTTTTAAAACCTCTTTTGAACTGAGCATTTTTATTCCCCACTTCTGAATAAATGCTTATTTTCAAAATGAAGGGGTTTTTTTCTGAAAAGAAATCCTGCTGCACTGTCAGAGAGAAGGGCAGGATGACCTAACCCATCATTTTCTTCTCTGATTCTATGATTCATAAAGCAATTTCTGTTTTTATGAGCAAGGTCCATGGGGAAAATCATTAGCAGAAACCAGATCAAGAGTAGTGCTCCTGATGAAAATACTTTTGGTTAGGAAACTTGGTAGAAATAGTCTGAGTCCTAAATTAAATATTTCCCTTAGGCCATTTGACCTGCTGTGTACATCTGCTGAAAAATTAGGGTTTTTTCTTCTTTTGACTGCTTTTGTCTGCTTTTCCTCATTGAATTGTTTTAGCCTACAAAGCTCTGAAAATTTTACTCATGGCCCAAGTGCCTGAAAGTGATGTGAAAGGAAAAGGCTACATGGATTTAGCCTAGAGTTAAGATGGGCATTAAATGTGATTATTCCCTGTTGGATATGTAGTTTTCCCAAATACCTTTAGGAAAAAGGAAGATATCCAAGAGTGGGATGCTGAGGGGTGTGGAGAGAGGGAATATTTTGCTGAGCAGGAGTTGAGAAGGAGCCTAAAAAGCTGCTGGTCCTGTTCTGAAGGAAATCTTGTCCTACCTGAGGTCATTTTTAGGGAAACCCCAAGAAACTTTTCCTAATACAATAATAACAAAAGTCAAACTCTT